TTTTTTTTTTTTTTTTTTTGTTGCTTTAAATGAAGTCTGTACCTAAAAATATCAATTCTGATTTTCTGAAAATACTAAAAATTACATAATTGGCTTTTTTTTTTTTTTTTTTGGAATTTCGGAAATTAAAATACAAATTTTTTCAAAAGACTTCCAAATTTTTATTTATCTAGTTCTAAACTTTCATAAAAATTCATGAATTCACACATTAAAATTTGAGTTCTATACATAAAATTTAAATTTCTACTTAACAAATTAATTAATTTAAAAAATTAAATCCGACAAAATATTATTTAAATCAAAATTGAAAATTTAGAAATCTATTATACCAAACTCATAGGCATTTTCTTGTAGATGAGTAGGAATATTCTTGGAAATTGCTCATAAAATTTATAAAATAAATTGGTCAACGGTCAAAATAAAACATGTAAGGTTCAATAATTTGTCGTTTTTTCTAAAAATAAAGTAAATTATTAAATAAAAACCATATTCAATTTAAAGTTTAAAGATTCCATTTTAAATAATTATTATTATTATATTTTTTTTGAAATCTTATTATGAATGTAGGTGGGCATTAAATCATTTTCAAGTGTTTTATTTTAGCATAAGATTTTAATTATTTTTGGATAAATTATTGTTAAATAATATCCAACTCCATACAAAATAATATCATACTTTGAAATTTTCAAATATATATATATATATTATGATAATATAATAATTAGGATTTTTCAATTAATATACACTTTTATTGGTGGAATTTTTTTTTATAGTAATTATGGGCAGAAAATTAATGGTGATTTGATTGACTGTTTGTTCCAATTATGATAAGGTTTCAAATAATAGAGATTTAATGATTAATTATTTCTAGAAAGGGGAAAAAACAAAACCTTTTTTGAGTGGAGGAGCTTTCTTCCAAAAAAAAAAAAAACATGCATTTATTTCTTTTTTTAAGAAACCAAACTTTTATTGCTGCAAAAATTAAAAATAGACCATAAATAATAAGGTGCGAGTAAGATGAGCACCTAATACAGGTCGTAGTCACGAGACGAGATATGAGCACCTAATACATTTCGTAGTCACGACGAGATATGAGCACCTAATATATTTCGTAGTCACGAGATATGAGCACCTAATATAGTTCGTAGTCAATCAAAAGTCTTTCACAAATTTGATAATACGTAATCAAATGATCCAAAATCGTGAGGTTGACAATGGGTCAACGGACAATATTTGTTAGTATCTACTATTCGTTGATAGAAACAACAATCAAAGATTCCACCAGATATGACCCACTGTCAGCCTCACTGTTTTAAAATGCGGAGAGGTTTCCACACTTTTATAAGAAATATTTCGTCCTCCTTTCAATAAATATTGTCCAGAGAGAGGACATTCGGCCCCAAGAGAATTGGATGGTGAGATTCCATGTTGATTGAAGAGGAAAATAAAGCATTCCTTACAAAGAAGCTTCAACGAGTGCTTAAATAAGACAACAAACATCATCATTTCAATTTTATCAATTCCAATACGCAAATTTTCAAGTTCATATCCCTCTAAATATACCATCATATTGAAAAATGGCATGTAATTCATCAGACTTGTAATAAATGAACAAGAAAATTCGAAATACATTTGTAAAAGCTTTCAAGGAAGCTTGAACGAGAGCGGAAGTGTATTATAATAAATGAGCAACCAAAACGTTGCGTATGTAATCCTTGAACATCATATCATCAGTGTTAGTGTTCTACTGCTTGATTTCTTCATGATTTGATTTGATTTGATTTGGTGGCGAAGGGGAAAAAGGGACTCTAAAAAACAATCCATAAAGACAACTTTGTTCATATGCACCATATACTTCGTAATGTGCATACATTTCAAGATTCAAGTTATTCATCGCTCATGTTTTCTGCATGCCATTTGTTGAAGCCATTGACAAGGGCATCCCTCATCCATGCGTGCCTGCAGTTTTCAATTGCCTCAGGTATGGTCACCCAACTTCTGTTTCTCGTGTTCTGCTCCGGCCATGACTCGAGCTCCTCGTTCACAAATAAAGCGTACATAGCTGCTCGACATAATCCGTCTGGAGTAAACTCATCTTGCTGTGTTTTACTCTTGAAGTGGTAGTCTCCCAAGAATCCCTGAAAACCGAGATTTCAACCAGAGAGTTTGTGTCAGGCTATAATCTAAATGGGAGGAAAACAAATGCAAAAACAACAAAGAAACGAGAAAGCAGCAGTGCGTCTCCTTAGAGACGTAATTGCCCTAAGTGTGAAAACCTCAATCTAATAGACGTGTTTCATTTATGAACTTTTAAGCCGCAGATCTTATTTTGCTTCACACATCACCTTTGACAACTTTAACAACTGCACTTATGTTATCAACCGATTGAAAACCCTTTTGTGTTTGATATCCCTTAGGCATGGGGGACACCCTCAAGCCTTTTGTTTGATATCCCTTAGGCATGGGGGACACCCTCTTGCCCCTCCTATGGCCTGGCCTTTAGCCCGTTTGGATTACCTCCTCATCTCGAGAGGAAAGAATAGGAGAAAAAAAGAAAAAAAGAAAAGGATTCAAGAGAAAATATATTTTTCAAGTTCCGCAGGCTTGAATCTAAAGGGGAAGCAAACTCAACATTACACCATAAAGAGTTTTTTTTGTTTTTTTGTTTTTTTTTTTCATAAACAAGCCAATGAACAAAGAAACTGCTAAACAGCAAGAGATAAGAGACCACGACATTCTCCAAAGAACAGAAACCAAACAATTCCCCAGCCACACACATCCATGGTAAGACAACTCCAAACAATCCTAACAGTAATGCAACATTACCCAATCACAAAGAAGTGTAGATATAACAGAAAAGAACATGACCAAGCTTATTCATTCTTATAATTATCTAATTTGGACGTTCAATTAACATAAAACAACAAAACATTTGAAACATTATAACATTAAATGAAACCAGGTAAAGTCATAAGAAGTTCTACTTTGACCTCCAAATGTTGAGTCATCTTTTATATCCATTAATCATATGGTTGGAGGATTCTGTCTTAAGATAATGCTATTGGATATGCAACTCACATCATAAGATAATGCTATTGGATATGCAACTTTCTAAGAAATAATTTCAGCAAATAAAACAGAAAGATGAAGAAAAAAGGGGATAACGAGGCATTCACCCTCACCCCTAGTCCAGGGAAATACAGAAGGAATATGACCATTGTAGTAACCTAAGCAGGCATGCTTAGCAAATAATGCAAGTAATCTCAATTGACCTTATTGCATGAGTTAGCTAAAACATTAAACAATCTACAGATAGTTTACACAGATAAAACTACTATACAATAAGTTGGACATATAAACTAATTTATGACAGAAATAAATAAATAAAGGAAGGAAGAATGACAATCAAATAACCACAGTTAGGTGAACTTTCTATGCAATACAAGCCATGTTAAATGTAAATATAGAAGTTTCGCAAGAAGTACTCTCTGATATTCAAAATGAGGTAAAACGGCTAAACCAAAACATCCTATAAGTAAGGGAGTCTAAAAAAAACCTCCAACTTGTGTGGATCAAAAAGGAGTTGTAATAAGCACAGAAGATTTAAGAGCAGCAAAGAAAATCATTAAATCTTACTATCTTCCACTTCTCTTGTCCCTGCAAAATCTATAGCATTTCTTTCCAGCCAAAACCAAAAACAGCTTTCAAAACTTCATTCCAAGAAACTTTTTACTCAGTGAGAAAATAGCTCTCCAGTTACCCTGAAGTTCGCTTGTACGCATATCTACCAGCCACCGTAATGGGTCAAGATCCTCCTGGAAGTCCACTAAATATCTCCCACCAAAAATTCCTGGGCCTTTGAGTTGATCTGCTTCCCTTCTGACCGGCATTGTTTTCGGGAAGAAAAGTAGTCATTACTACAGTTAAGGTGTTCTTTATGCTACATCTAGCAGCAAAGTTTACTTCTTTCCAAAAAGATGCTTTTCCAGAGTGGTGGATCAAGAACTATCAGGGGAGGGTGACAGGTTACTACTGGATGTAGGAGTTTTCCTTTCCCCTAAAATAGATTTATGCGAAGGAACTTCATATCTTCAATTTTGAATTCTTGACACCTTTGCAAAAAGACACTATCAAACCCTCCATTTCTAAATAGAAAAAAACCTCCAAGAACGGCCAACCACCTTTCCAAACATTGAATTACTAAGCAACAGGCATTTTGAGTCGTTGAAATAATAGAACAGCAACCTCTCTTTAAACAAACTTCCAAGAACGGCCAACCACCTTTCCAACATTGAAGAGTCTGGCATGAGAGAAGGCTGCAGTTTGGACTACTTCTCCTTCCCGACGGATTGAGGTAACAATTTTTCTTTGATTTTAATGGTTGCTTCCACTAACTCTTTAAGGTACAATCTTCTCAGCATACTTTCCACAGCTTCCACTCTTTTCCCCAGTGTTAATTGAAGGCTCCATTTAACAGAGGGTTTCTAATCTATATGAATGGCGACATGTCAACCTTCACATGATATCCTACATTCTAACTCACATGATATCCTACATGTCAACCTTTACGATCGATTGGGATAGCTTTGGCAATCATCACAAAGTTGCCACCTATCCCATTTTTTGAGAGACGACTTTAGGAACCCAAGGACCATTTAGAACTTTGTCAAACCAAATGGACTAAAAGTAACCCATTTTAAATCTTAGAGATCAAATAGATACCATCCCCAAATATCAAGGACCAAAAATGTATTTTTCTCTGAAGATAATAGTAAAAATATTTTAAATTTACTAAACTTAAAGGAATCGAATATTGTTGAATTAATGGAAGTACTTTCACTAACTCACCAATCTTCCTTATAGAAGTTTAAGTATACAAGCCTTAAGGATGGATAGTGATGGACTTTGATTTGTGATTCATAACCCTCAGTGTTTCTGCATAGATACCACTCATATATAAGATTTCATCAACCCAAAGGACAACCCAAAGGACAACCCAAAATCTTTGTTGTCCTATTAGAAGTTTTTGGCTAGACGTAAACAACACCAACACCTTAAAGTAATCATCACCAAGGCAACAACTAACAATCAATAATGCTTCCTCTAGATTTATCATTGAAACTCGCCAAATCTCTACGCTTTTAGCCCTAGGATTACCCACCTTTGGACTTAGACTTGGTGACCATAGACCAGCAAAATCCCACATTGTCTCATTAAATTAAAGCAAATTGCAACTTTCATGACTCATGAAACTACCGGTCAAATATCAAATGGTTAGCCACGAAGTCCATGAGGTACTAGTTCAAAGGAACAAAAGGAAAAGTAACTCAAATGGTAGCCTTAGTTTCTTATCAGTCACAACCCAATACCTTTAGTCTTCATCCTAACTCTATCTGTTCTACTAATGATGAGTTAACAGAATTCATTACTCCTTCACAACAAGGACAACAACACCATCAAACAAAAAAAACAAAAAAAAAATCAAAGGAAAAGGTATTAAAAACGATACTCTAAAAAACTCCTATTTCAACCATGTTCTTTATATATGTTAGATGGGAAAACCTTAATTTTCACAAAAAACAATGAGAACAAAGCTATCACTATTATAGAGTACAATAAAAACTTTTGACGCTCAAGAAAATTCATTTCAAGCATTAAATTAAAGTACTATTTCACCATAAGTTGACCACGAACACCCGCTTCTTCAATAGCTTCCCTTACAGCAGCCTCCTCCACCGTCTCATCATTCTCCCAGCCTCCCTTTTAAAGAAAATGCTGATATTAGAGATAAAATAAGCTTGTATACTTCATATGAGAGAAGCAAAAAAGCAGAAGTTCAACCTTAAGTTCCCAACATAGAAAATTTTGCAAACTATGATACTATATATGTAAAAAACTCAAATCAAATATATGTATTCTCATTTTTTTTCTTTTTTTAACAACAAACAAGCACTTTTCATTAAATTTGAAAAGTTGCAAGCAACCTCATTTTGGAATAAATAACATGTTCGGGTGTGGTGTTAGGGGGACAACTTATACCTTTGGGAACAAAAGGCCCGGTCCACTAGGTGTGTCAATCATAAGCACCTCCACTACTTTATCTGAAATTTCATCACTGCTGCCATCGGAACTTCTATACCTAAAAGGAATACACCTACAAAAGAATAGCAAAATTAGCATCAACAGAAAATGCAGGCGAGGCATTCCTGTTATAAGTTAACCTTGTGACTAGACATGAAGTTCATGCATCAATTACATTTTAGTTAAAGAAAAAAAAAACATAAAAACTTCAGAATTGTGAATAATACACAACGTCATAGGAGATGTACAGGAGTAGCCCCAGAGTATAATGCAATTCATAAGGGAAATTTAGTTAAATTTCAAATGAACCATCACTTATTAACTACAAAAAAGTATTAAAGAAGTATAAAAGAGAGTGATACATTGTGAATAATCTACAACATCACAGGAGATGTGTAGTAAGAGCCTCAAAGTAGAAATTAGGACTCACCAGCCAACCAATCATATTTCCAGTATTACACGTCATATATCAATAAATTCTCAGATCCAAATCGAGACTTCTCGAAACCCTTAATCGATAAAAGAACCCAACAACGAATCACAAACCACCAATACCCAAGCAAGAACCACAGTGAAAATCAAAGCAGTCAATTTCCACAAGGGTAGTAAAAAGAAACGTAAATGACATTGCCGACAACCTCATTTTCACCAACCTTTGACAAGAATGGTCCACGAAAACGACTTATAGATACACAGACATATAAACATCAAATCGCTGGAGTCTACGAATATTAAAAATGTATATATATAAATAATATATTGGTGGGAATGTACCCAGCAATAAGGCGACAACCGGCATCGTACCGCTGCTGATGCCGTCCAGTGCGGGCCACCAAATCAGACATACTAAACAAATATATACGTATACAAAAACTATCGTCCGTCGGGTTCAGCGTTTTGAGACGAATGCAAAATCCTGCACATCGCTACAGCAGAGGACAAATTCCGCCATTGTCAATCTCTCTCAGAATGGACAGTCAAAGACGATCTCAAACTCCATGGAAGAGTGGCGATGAATGTCGATTGTTAGGGTTGGGGAGAAGTAGTTGGTTGCAGAAAGGAGAGGAACCGAGATGGAGAAGGTTGCGGCTGAAGCGGATCTGGCGGTGGGGTTGGGTCAAAACAGGGGAGGGGATTTGATGGTCAAAAGGGAAAACAGTGGGTCCAGAAGGGTTTGGGAGAATCCGGTGGATTCAGCACCAAGGAAATATATATGGAGGGGAAGATGACCGTTGAGATCAACGGGTAAGGGTAAAATGGTAAAACTGCCTGTTCTGTTGGATGGAAATGCTTCGCTATTTGAAAGCTTTGACGTAGTCTTTCCTCGTGCGCTGTAAAAAGCTCCGATTTTTTCAAAAAGCTACGATTTTTCAAAACGCTTCGATTCCGTGGGCCTAATTTTTGTTTCCTTCCCCTTTTCTCAAATAATAATAAAATTCAATTTAATTTTTAATATATAAATAAATAATAATACCAACAATTATCCATTTATATTTCCTAAACTTTACTATTTTATCAATTAAATTTTTAAAATTAATAAATTTATATCTTAAAAGTATATATAGTAAGTTTATATTATACTTTTATGATATATTTTTCCTAAATAATATAATGTTAGGGAATTAATTTAGATTATTTATTAGTTATTATAATTTTTTTTCTCAAAATCATCCAAATAAAATTATATTTTTTAGAAAAATAAAGAAACACCTCGATCTTATCAACTTGATTTAATTAAATTAATTATAAATTTTTAAGATATAAATAATGTAATTATCAATAAATAGGATAATTTACAATTTTGATTCATAGTTCATCATATTCCCAAGATAATGGAGACATGAACATAGTGCATTGTTCCTGTATTGTGTCATGTCGTACTATTCGAACTATATGGAGTAATAATTTATACTCATTCACGGCTTAGCCTTAAGGGTAACTTAAATCCCATAACGATTTTTTTCTCTTCGTCAAACCATCTCTTAGGATGTCATCAACCTTCACTCGGACATACTTATCGAGAATCAACTCACGTGCCAACCTCATAGTTAGGACATCCCAAACATTCCTGTCTCAAATTGTACTAAGTCTCGTGAGAAAGTGATTAAGAGAAGTTCACTCGCTAAATATATAATTTAACCGAAAAATAAAACACAACAAATGAATAAATAATCCTATTACGATCCACCTATGATAACTCTAAGTTACTCATACTAAATAGGAAGACATCAAATTCCAGCTAATTCTCATATGGGAAGGCATTCTTGCTACAAAACGTAAGAGATCTGAGTTGAAGTAAGATACCCGGTGGTGGCTGATCGACCTTTTGTCATCCAAAACATTAAGGAACTTCGCTAAATTGGGAAGAACAAGCTCTCTGCAATGAAGATGTAACAAGGGCACCTTGGATAAAACACTCCCCTTTTGCACATCCAACCCTTTCGGCCTTCGCAACTTGTATGGCTTCCCACTTATTGGCTCGATGTCGACCCGGGGCATTTGTTTCCACGTCCGATGTACAAACCAACCGTATTTGTAGTCGCCAACAATAGGTGTGCCCAGAGCTTCAGCACAATGGATCCGTAGCTGAAAGATGGCAAATCATACAGTTAAAAGATTTGAAAAAAATATCATTTCTATTCGTTTGAATTTCAAAATGGTTCACTTTTACCCGAGTAATTTTCGTTCGGTTTCTAGATTACAAAATGTTACATTTTTATCTTTGAGTTTTTGTTTCCATTTGGTCCTTTGGTACCATATTTACACTTTTATCTCCTTTCATTAAATACTCATTTCGGTCTTTTCGTGTCAATGAGTAATGAATTAACTAGAAGTTAACATCAAAGATCAAAATTAAGTTCAATAACTAAGGAGTAAAAGTGTAACATTTTGAAACCGAGAGACCAAAACAAAACCAGACTAAAAACCTATGGATCAAAAGGATAGCTATCCCTAAGATTTTCGTGCATAAATTTGAATGAGCCTGTTCGTAGAAAAGCGAGAGAGCTTGAAGTACCTGATGCTTTCGGCTCGTACGTGGGCATAGTTCAATCCATGAACAACCATTTATTGTGGGACCAAGCACACGATATTCAGTGATTGCCTCCTGAGAAGCTTCCAAGGATGTTTTGTTTGCCAAGACAACCCTCTCGGTCTTCCCATCATCAAGAAGCACCTACAAACAATTATAACACAAGTAAAACGACATGAAATGATCCTTGAAAAACTTGTTTGAGCCATATTCTCAAGTTCTTGAAGATATGTTGAACAGTTTCTAAAGGCGTAGCGATCCACACATAAGCCAACTGCCAACCACATGATTGTAGTCTAATTATCAACTTATTAGAAAATACTGATCTCTAATTATTAACAATTCCAGAGTGCATTACTCCACCTGAAGAGACTGAGAATCATTAACATTGATCCCAGAGAGAGAGAGAGAGAGAGAGAGAGAGAGAACCTTTGACAAGGGAGCCGAGATTAGGCCTTCTCTTTCTCTGGGACAACCAATTACTAATGCCCAATACTTTTGATATGTTGCATTACACGCCTCGTCCCAAGCCTGAAATCATTGTTGAGCATATTGTAAACTATTAAAAGTTAGAAATTTTAGAACATTTCTTAGCTGTAGTTATACTAGGTAAACATCTTAAAGATAAACCTCTTCTTTGTTTTCGTTTAAGCTTCAATGCATTTTTTATTAAGCACCTTACATGAAGATTTCGCATTTCTTATATTGCTAAATAGCCATTGAAGGTGGGCTACACTTTCCTTTGTTCTCCCCATCAAGATAATCCCGCTGCTCTCTCTATCCAAACGGTGAACCTAAATGTACATCCATAAGAATAGACAGAGGAAGAGCATTAAATATAGAGCAACGCAACCAAAAATGAAACAGGATGAAAAATAAGAAATAACATTAGCTTCTACGTCCTTATTTTGAAGGAATAAACAATTCTTGAAATGAATAAAGAGGAAACTTAATTTCTGTGTAACTTGCTTCAGTTGGGATAAACTTTTCAATGAAAACCCAAGCTTCGGGCTATACGAAATGGAGAAAAACCCACTAAATAGGAGCTTTATCTATCGAAATTTATCCCATGTCTAGGAAATACATACCTCAGTAATTGCTATAAGTAGCAAGTACTTTTATCGTACATTACGAAGATTTCCAATTGAATTACAACGCCATGGCAGCGGCATCAACCCATCTTATTCCCATAACACATTTCATGCAGATCTTTAGCTTCTTAATTCTCCTTTTCGGTAATGATGATTGGGATGCCGATTCAGAGGTTAGTGTGAGTAGTGTGGAGTTCATCTTGCCCAACACAAATAACACCTTGAATGATTTTTCTGAAAATTGCTTTTCAAAAGCTCTAGTTTCCTTACTTCGGGACTATGACAACGAGTTTTCACTTCATCCTTCCTCAGTTCCAAGAAAATTTGAATCTCTATATTTCTACTTCTTGCGGCCTACTCTTGCTGATGACAACCGTGTTCAGGTTTGATTTTGTCCCTACCCTTGGCATATCACGGTTTTGTTTCCTTCTGGAAGAGTGCTTAATGTGTCCAGTGCAGTGTAGAGTTTTATCTTTGCTTGTCTCGTAGTTTCAGACTCTTTGTTTGCCTCCTGGTTGTTTTCCTTCTTGGATTCGGGTTCCTGGTATTCTCGGCCTTTTGGTTTCTTGCCGCTGCCTTCAAGTGTTGTTGTTGTCAGTTTTTAGTCTTGATTTTGTTTCTAGAGCTGTATTTGGGATTTCTTTGGTTGACAACTATTTTGTTATGCTCATTAGATTACTTACTTTTTATGATTTTTTTGTTTTCTTTCTTTCACTCATATGTGGAGTTTGTACCTTTGAGTATTAGTCGTTTTCAGTTCATCAATGAAAAGTTTCGTTTCTTATTCCCATAAGTATCCATCAATGACACATTAACATAATTACTTAGCTGTTTTCATTCTCATTACAGAGTCTTTTAATAACAATATCTACATAAGTTACTTGAACGAGAATAAGAAGCTTACCAACTTGGGACCGTCATCATAATCATAAGATAATGCAGCAGCCGCCAACGCATCCATACTATTATGAACTGGAAGATTCCCCTGTCAAAACCATAATTGTTTCAAAATATCAGAGCACCTACTTTACCTCCCACCCCACCTTCCCACCGATCACCAGAAATAAAATAGAAAACTATAAGAGATTACGAGGTAAACCTTGACGGGTAGTCTGGGGGGTTTATTTAACACGAGAATAGCAGAATCCTGAAATTTACAAAATAAACAATCAAATGAAATCATGTTTAGCATACAACAGAAATCACATGCCAGGATAAAATGAAGCAATAGAGAGAAGGGAATTAATCATTCATCAATCTCAACCAAGGTTCATTGTTGATTGTACATAAGAAAATGAGTATATCTATGTGGATCTTCCCATACCAAGTATATAGCAACTGCTTCTTGTACGTCAATGGATAAAACACTGGGAGATACATAAATTGCAGCAAACAGCAAAGAGGAGAATGCAAGTTAAACTCAATACTTGCCTTGTACTTGACAAGTCTTTGCAAATACTTGATTTCATCCGCGTTTGGGTGCAATGTGCCACTTGGAATAGTGTCAAATCTCCTAGAAACCCTCATCTCTGCAACGGACACAGGTATATGGACTCGTGCCCCAGTTTCCATAATCTCATTACTCCTAATCTGAAAGTCATATGGTAATGAGTTAATAGCCTTATAGACCAACAAAGAATGACTTCAGTAAGTAAATGAAACCAGATAATACATACGCACTAACAACATATCAGGAGCTTCTAAAAAATGAACCATAAGATAATAGGCTATTTATTCAAGAAACAACACCTTTCTCATAGGTTTCAAATTTCCTTCTCCATCCAAGCCACCTGATTGTGGACATTGCACCTGGACCTGGAAAAAGGAAGATAAATTTAAACCCAGAATTGGATAGATAACCACCGATCGCTTTTCTAAGAGAGAGAGAGAGAGAGAGAGAGAGTTCAATTTCATAAGTAACATTGAAGTTGTGGTATATCCTTAAACATATATACACGCAAGTCATTACTTCAGTTTTTCCGCGGACACCAACTGAAACTCCAAAACAAAACAAGTCCAATGTACTTTTTCCCACAGTGGCAATGTAAGTTTATATATGGAACTCAACTATTTTAAACAAGCAAGAAGAGTTTAAGTTCCCATTAGTATTTACAACTTACAAGTTAGCACTGATCTTACAGCTCAAAAGTATGACGGAGATTCTCGACATTACAAAAGTTACAAAAAGCCAACAAAACTATAAATATAGCAGGAAAAAGACAAAAGAACGAGACCAATTGGCTAAAAGAGGAGTAAGTGTTCTTACTTACAAGACCTTTTCTGAAATGGGACTGAATTACAGAATCTTCAATTTCATCAAAGTAATGCTTGACCCATGTTATGGCAGTGACGTGAGTTGACTCCCCAGAGAAACCAATCTGATTCTTCCTGGGCAAAGGGTAGCCAGGAAATGGGGGCAGCGATAGGAGCTGCCGGGGCTTTGAGCCTTCTTTAGGACTACCCAACTGCGCTACGTTGTTGGAAACTCTAATGACAGGCCTGGCATAAGCAGGTGGAGGAGGAGAAATTCTAGAGTAGTATCTGGTTGCAAGTAAAAGATGTCGTCGTATGCTCTGCCGCATAATCCTGCAATCTTTCAAGCAAAACAGCCCTTGAGTGGTGGTTGTTTTTGTAGCTTAATCGATTTCCCTGTGTACAAGTGTGTTAATTTCAATTTCAATAGTGACCCTTATTTTCAACCTCGGAGATTTTCATTCAATCTCTACTTGTTGCAAATATGAAGTACTCTAATCAGCCTGATTCGAAGCTTTACTTCTTTTTTTATATGCTAAATTTCTATCAAGCTTAGCACAGCCATTTGTAAATCACAACAACATTGATCAAAACGGACAGAGAAGTCAATTATCATTTTAATGACTGAGAAAGTGTGCCAAGTTTTAGCGCAGACCAGGCAATCAATTATGCAAGATTAGACAGCTAGTAGTTTGATCCTAAAATTGATGGATGAGTCCTGAGCGAGACAGAAACGAATACTGGGGACACAACCTCTAAATTATGGTACTAAACAGGGAAATTTTGATTCTAATCAATAACAGAGACGAAAAACAACCCATAAATTACCTCCGTAGATGATCAGCGATTGAGAGAACGCCGACAAATATGCTCGCAGCTCAGTTCCGCCCGTTAATGGAAGGGGGAAAGTGTAAACAAAATTAAGTGCCCCTTTGACTGCTCCCTCCTATTTCTCCACCGACGGAAGTCGATGTGAGAGTACCACTGGGCGAGAGGAGGGCAGACGAGAGGTGGGGCGTCGGTTTGCCTGCCTTCAAGCTATAAATCAAATATGGATACCCAACGTCTCCAGTTTCGCTCGTGATGGAAGATGATGCTGCGCTTCAGAGCTCACTCCCGTCCCCTAACTCCTTTCGAGTGTCGACGGAGAACTTTCCTACTACCAACAGGCGCCCATCCAATAGACTTAATAGCGTACAAGTTTACTCCTAGTCGATATTGTTTAGACTTGTTATGTATCGTCTAGACCTGTTATGTATCGTCCTCAACCTCACAGTTTTAAAACGCGTCTAATAAGTTTACTCCTAGTCGATATTGTTTAGACCCTTAGTCGATATTGTTTAGACTTGTTATGTATCGTCCAGACCTGTTATGTATCGTCCTCAACCTCACAGTTTTAAAACGCGTCTAATAGAAACAGGTTTTCACATATTTGTAAGGAATGTTTCGTTCCCATTTCCAACCGACGTGGGACCTCGCCTTCGTGGGCCCAGCGTCCTCCGACCAATGTGGGAACTCACAATCACTCTTTTGGGGGCCTAGCATCCTCGACAGCACACCACCCAGTGGCTAGCTCTAATACCATTTGTAATTGCTCAAACCCAACGCTAGTAGATATTGTTCGCTTTCATCTATTACGTATTGTTGTCATGGGGTCAATGTCCTTGTTAGCACATTGTCCCGTGTCAACTACAGTTAGTTTATTCTATTAATAGTCATCACTTTGTCCGTCGTCACCTTGTTCGGGTTCTCACACGCGTTTTAGTCAAGCTCAAACTCCTCACAAATAAAGTCAGCAAAAGCTACCATAGTCACTACCAAATACCGATACTTGGTTCTTCCTCACACTTGCTGTCATTGATAACGACAAAGCAATAGTTCGTTTGTCCGTGTGTAGATCATACTACGAGAATCAGGTTCATAATTTTTCATAACGATACATCACCTTACCTAAAATTATTTAGTTGCTTTTCTGGGTAACTTGAAAAAAAAAAAAAAACAACGAACAAGTATCTATCGGAGAGCATGAATAACTCCTGTACTAATGAGCTATTTTAAGGCATCGTGGACTTTGGGCTTGAATGACCTATGAGTCCAATAAGTTAAATTCGAGCTCGAGCGGAGTTGAGTCAACTCACTTAATAAGCCCACTTTGGGCTCAATCGAACACTAAATCCAAATATCACAACCCAATCAGACCAAACTAATCTTATTCGATCGAACATAGTGATAAATATAAACCACGTCAATTTTAATAATTATATATAATTTTCAAGTAAAAAAAAAAAAAAAAAAAAAAAAA